AGTCAGACCATTAGAGAGTTTATAATCTTTGTCTACTTTGATATCAGAAGCTCTTAAGATCCTGCCACAAAGAAACCCTCAACCAGGAAGGTATATCAAAACTTGGGGAACAGGATTTTCAAAGGCTCATGCAAGATTCAGGCTCAGACTCACTTATCCTTGGGAAGTATATATTCCATGCCATGACCAAGAACAGCTATTAGAGAGGAGGGGTTGGGACCCTTTAACAAGAACAACACAGTAAGCTCTACCATTGAAAAAGATTTTAATTATACACTACGCATTCCTACTTTGGAATACTACAAAGCTCTAAAAATAGAATGAGTGAATCTATGGGTTCAAATAGATTGGAAAGTGGAAAAAAAACTTCAAAGAGAAAAGGCTAAGGTATAGAATAATGTGTATGATATGAATATCTTGGTACAGAGATAGGGAGTCAATATAAAGATAAGTGAAGTCCAAACCAAAATATGCAGAACTGATTCTAGAGACAGGGATCATGGAGAATCAATAAGACCTGTTAGATATAGGGCGAAGGGAAAAGAAAGCATCTAGGAATGCCTTGTTTTCTTAACCCTTACAAAGGTAATCAGAATTCTTGTTTATTTGGCTGTTTATCAAGATGTTTAATGATGATTTAAAACTACCTTCCATCAATTTATGGCAAATTCCAAGTTACTAATATTTGCAACACTGCATATCTGACATATGAAGGAGCAAAGGAAATTTAAGAACAGGGGATAAACTGGCAGAAAAAACAACCTTGCAACTTTCCAGGAAAACCTACATACAAAAACTATCAGTGATAGACATACCCAAAATTTACATTTGCTCTAGTACTCCTTGAGAATTTTTTTTTTCTCTTACAGGCTATTTTTTCAATATTTGCTAACTTAGATTCAGGATAAGAACTTTCTGCTATGGATTTATAACTCATTTCCAACCCTTATTCTCAGTCATTAAAACTTAACTGAGGGCTGGGTTTGTGGCTCGGTAGAAAACTCGTCTCGCATGTGTGAGGCACTGGGTTCGATCCTCAGCACAACAAAGATAAAGGTATTGTGTCCATCTACAACTAAAACAAAAATAAAATTAAAAAAATAAATCATTCTGCTGCACATAAATTATACTTCAAATTATAAGAAAAAAATAAAAAGAGGCTTAGCTATACATGAAAAGGAAGCCTGCTGAGGACTGTAGGTTCACAGAACTGTTTGTTTTCTTCTGAGAAAAGAATAAAATGTAGTGGTGATATATGACAGTTTCCTCAGAAAATGTCACTAACATTTATTTAACAATACAATCTCCTTATTATAAACATTACCTGGTAGATGTGAAGTATTTTTCCAGGATCTACATAATAAGAAAAGCCAAAGTATTACCAAGGCATGGGTTCCTAGGGGGTCTCAGGTCCAGGTTTTTGGCATCCCACCAAAGGATCTGAGCAAAGGAAGAGATTGGCAATCAAAGCAAAGGTTTACTGAAAATGAAGTTCACTCTGGGAAAGCAGAGTGGCAGAGCCGTGAAGAAGCTCAAGGCCCTGTCTACATAGTGGAGCTTGGTTTTATTGGGCTGTGCTAGTTCTTCCCCTTTCCCCTGGATAGATCTGAGTCTGTCACCGTGATTGACAGCTGAATTTGACAATTTCTTCTCTACAGTCCCCTGCCCCATCTCAGAAAATGCACTGAGGGAGTAAATCTCAACGCTAACTAGTAACAATTTAACTTTAGGTCAGTCCCTCTGACTATAGCACATGCCCAAGATCAGGGACTTTCCCTTCAGGGCCTTCCTTGTGGTCCTCTAGCTTCCTCCCTTTAACAGCAAGATGTACAGTTTTCCTTCACAGGTAGAGTGACAGACAAGTGAAGTTTGATTTGTGACTGAGCGCCCTAAGTGGTGGTCTGCCCTTTTTATCCCTTCCCCACACCCTATATCTCCTACCTAACAAAAGGAACTACAAAGTATCTAATATTACTGTCCAATGTACAATTTTAATTTATGTTTCCTATAAATAGGAGAATAATTAATAAAAGCAATATTAATAAATTTGAAGAGAAAGAACCTAAAACCTCAAATCGCAGAATGGATTAGAAAGTTTTCAATGTTTACATTAGAGATTCCAGTAATGGTAGATGCAACATCCATTCTTACCTTACCTCCCCAGTGATTCAGAAGACACTGACTTCCCCAGATCATATCCTAGCTCCAGGGCTGGTTCAGAAACCCAGACTTATTTAAACCAAACAGCATACAGTGATTATTACTAGTCTAAAGGTGACCATGGGGTCTAAACAGGGCAAATGAAAAGAACTTTTAGTATGTGATTATGAAACTTCTATTTCTGTGCTGAAACTAATGGATGTTGTTGTTCCAACTGCCGATTATAACCACACTGAAACAAGAAGGAAACTAGCCTGAGGATACATAGGAAACACAGATAAACCAAGTTAGTACTTTGTTCATACTGTGCTTAAAGATCAAGCCCTAGAATCTCCTCTACTTACAAAATTTGCAGTATGAGACAAAAATAAACTTCCTTCTGGAATAAGGTAAATTATTTGGGGGTTTCTGTCATTCAGAGATGGATCCACCATAATTATTTTTAAATGGTTTCTCTAAAGTAGATAACCTCATGAAAGCTACTTCAAATTAGGAAACAACACTTCATATTTTATAAATAAATTACAATCTTTAAAAGTGTACATAAATTCATTAATCCATCGAGTTCAATCACAAAAATATATGTGACCAGTTAACAGACAATGAGTTTAGGTTACTTTTACTTAATTGCACAAAACTGTTTACAGTACATTTCTCAATAAAGAAAAATTGAATTATAACCCAAGGGTGAGTTAATTTGTACAAATCTTGAATAATGTCATATATATTTCGTTAACAGATGCTCAGAGACTCTGCAAAGACACTCCGCTCAATCAGAAGCCAGATTAAAGTTCCATCTGGAGCCTAATGGCTCCATGGTTCTATTACAATTACCCAAGTCACCAAAGTAAGCCTTAATAGCTGTATATCACGATCTCTCTTGAAGGTACATATAGTCTTGCCCCTAAAACCAGAAAATAAGATCATAATTTTGTGTATGCATACTCAGATGCAGAAGATTTAGTAGGTATCCAAATGCTATTGCATTTTTTCACTGAACTTTTCCTATGTGACTTTTCATCAGCATATCTGCTTAGAAACAGATGCTGGGATACTGCATCATCACCTTACCTTGACATATAAAGGACAAAGTTCACTTTCCCTTTAATCTATCTACAGAGTAACCCAGATACCTAGAATAATCTTTCACATTTCTCTTAGATCCTATCACAGGCATTTCTTATCAAAACAGAAAAACTGGATAAGGCTATTTTATTTCCTACTTTTCATGGCTATAAATTGTTGCAAAGCCAAAGGATTTAAGAGCAGGAGGGAACCTGGAAAGTACTCAAAGATCCGCATCTAAAACCAACATTCCTCAAAGTTCCACTGCCTGACATGCACTCTCTGCTTAAAACATTTTATAGCAATTTGACATAGTAATGAGCTTATGTTTTATATATCTTCAAGTCTTTGGAATAATATACATCTTTGGGTTTGTTTCTGTCTCTGGACTAAGACTTGGGCCCAGTTAGAACACTGAATTTCACCTGAAAGTGTGTGTTGGCCTAACAAGGTGTTTTGTTTCATTTTGAATGCCTTTAGATGGAACCCAGACTTTCTGATTAGCTAAAGTAGTAAGGTATTTACATCATTATCAGGTCAGCCCCAGAAGGCATCTGAAGTGGTCAATTAAAGATCCACTAGGCCAATGTTTCTCAAACTCTACTAACACCATTGGTGAGAAATAAAAGCAACTTCAGTGAATTGCATATAACATTTTTAAAAATGACTTGCCATTGCATAACCCACAAAAAGAATACAAGAATACATACACATGTGGAAGATCAACATCCCTAATTCCAAAATCCTAAATCCAAAATCTTCCAAAAGTTAAAACTTTTTGAGTACCAACATAATCCAGAATTGTAAAATTTCATAGCTGTCCTCATGTACTAAGTTGCAGTCTAGAGGCAGATGCACAATTTTAAAAAACCACCAAAAAAACAATTGTATAAAAATCACTTCTAAGTTATGTGTATAAAATGTATATAAAATAAATTTTGTGTTTAGATTTGAGTTCTATCCTCAATATATTTCTTATGTGAATATTCCAAAGTCCAGAAAACTTCCAAACTTGAAACATTTCTGGTCCCAAGCATTTCAGATAAGGGATACTCCACCTTTCTTTGTATATGGGTTGTGTCTTAAATTTTATTTCTTATTCATGGACATAATACTGTGAATGAACAACACTGTACCAGATGAGTACCTTCAAAGATGCAGAAGCTGGCACTTGTCAGTTAGCAGGACCAGATCCAGTGGCCCTTTTCCTATATTCATGATTAAAAGGTTTGTTTGGACATCGTGGTCTACAAAGCCAGTAAGAGTATATGTACCTAAACTAATATTTAAAAGTCCTAGACCAACTAAAATGTTTTTGTATCTTAAATACTAAAGATGAATTTTTATGTAGTTCGTTTGATTATACAGAAATTAAAAATGGCTATAAGTCCCCAAATAAAACAGAATACAGAAGTCCTCAATAGTTTAAAGACCAATATACAAATATAAAATTTCTAAAATTTTGATAAATATATTTAAGTATTTTATAAAAATATTCTTATAAAAAACACTGGCAGCATGCCAGGGAAAAGTTTATCTTAATATATAATTTATTACTTAAATAAACATGAGGAAAATACCTGAATAACAAGTAAATAATATTACAAGGTAAATTATAAAATAAGTACAAATAGTACATTAAAATGATACTACTTTTCTCCTATAAATTAGCACAAATATTTCTTTTTAAGTATTAATGTTGCTATTGATGTGAAAAATCCAGGAATCTCAAAATTTGTTGCTGGGAAAGAAAACTGGTAGCTTTTGGCACTTACCAGAGGACTTTAATTACCCTTTTATCCAGTAAATCCACTTCTGGAATTTATCCTATGGAAACAATAAGAGGGCATACAAATATTATCACAAGTAATTTTGAATGCAGTATTGTATATATAATAGTGAAAATTCTAACTCCCTCAATAGGGAATTTTTAAATTATGGTGCACCCTTACAACTATAAAACGAAATGTATATTTATCTTTCCTGCCCATAAAATGCTATTTAAAAAAATACATGTTTAAGATCCCATTTTTATGTTAAAACAGATTTAATCCTTCACTAGTAAACCACCCAATAATTTTAGACAAAAATGCATTTTTACATAGAATTCTCTAACATTATTGTTTTCTTTCAGCAAGAATACCCAAAATTGGGCTACGGTTGTGGCTCAGAGGTAGAGCACTTTGACTAGCATGTGAGAGACATTGGGTTTAATTCTCAGCACCACATATGAAAATGAATAAAATAAAGGTCCGTCAACAATTTTAAAAAATTAAAAAAAAAGAATAGCCAAAATTATAAGAAAAAAGAGAAGGAAGGAATAGAGGGAGGAAAGGAAGCAGGCAGAAAAGTAGAATTAAATGTAGGGAAATCTCACGATAAAATTAAGCAACCTAGAGAAACTGGTCTTTGAAATTAATTAAAATAAAGTTTTTTGACAAGGAAAACATAGCCTCTGAATATCCACAACAGGTAAAAAAGCAGGCCTTAGCCACAGACCTCATTTCTACCCATATGCACTACATGAAAGTGCAGGTGTGATTAACAAAAAGCCTGCATCTTTTATCTAGGAATTGGCCAGAAACAGCCAAGGGTAGCAGCCTCCTACACGAGGTACTAAGGGCATCAGCAGCAGCCAGGAAACTCAACTGCAAATGCCAACAGTAAAGGCTAACTGCAAACCCTATTGCCATAGAGGTAAACCTGCATGTAGACAAGGAAAGTAAAAAACTCCTCCTGGAAGAGCAAAGAAGTTAGATTACCAGGTCTTAAGTCTTCTCCTAAATGGAGCATTATGCTACCTTGCAGACTTAGATATTATTCAACAGTCTGACTTATGAACTGCAGAATTTAATTTTCCACGTAGTATTTCAGCCCTGTGTCCCATACTCTTTATGTGTGTGTATGGAAGCATGTATCAAAAAATAAGGTATTTATTCTGTTTTTACAAAGAAAAATAATCTAAAGTTTAGAATTTAAGACTTCAACTGACCTTAACACTCATGCACTTAAAATACTTAATTTCCCAAATACACTGATTTTCCTTACCATAAAGTCATGTGATATGGACTGTCCCTAACTGTGCAACAGGATCAAAGACATTGTCCTGAATGCTACACACTTTTTACCTTCAGTAAGACATACTAAAATTTCAAGTACCATTAAGAAATAGAAAGAACAATTTATGTTCACAAATATTTTCTTCCTTAGAATAATATCTAAAAAAGTAAAAGCCAATCAAGTATTCGTACAGATGTTGAAAACAATTCAGTCTTACAGTTTTCCCTAACAATGTGCATAATACATCATGGGACAGAATGGGAGAGAATATCAAATTTGAATCTTGGAACACCTATTTTGGAAAGCAGGACATGTCACAAATGCCACCATACATGAAGGTCTTAGGACAGGATAAGAGGTCTGGCAACCTACAGACATAGGAGTTAATAGGCTCAAGGACACCTATATAAGGGTAGAGTTCTATATCACTTTTTTTTTTTTAATATTTATTTTTTGGTTTTCGGTGGACACAACATCATTGTTTGTATGTGGTGCTGAGGATCGAACCCGGGCCGGACGCATGCCAGGCGAGCGCGCTACCACTTGAGCCACATCCCCAGCCCTCTATATCACTTTTACAAAGATAAAAAGGTCTCAGAGTCTCAAATTCTTTCCAGGAAATGGGCCTGCACGCTACTCCCCAAAATAATATTTTCCTTTCCTCTTTACTCTGCATGTGACTGTGCTTCAAGCATCTGAATAATGAACAATACAAATGAGTCAATATAATGAGTGATAAATAGAAAAATGGAAAACTATTTAAAACACTGCTTGTGTGATAAAAATCAATTCTACATATTAACCAATCAACTCACCACAAACCTAAAGCATAATCCACAATTACTAATTCACAAATATTGTTTTTCCAAAAATTCCATTCAATATCCAACATAAAAAAATTTTAATATAAAAATAATGATGAAGGAATCAAACCTTGAGACAGTATTCCTAATTCTACTATCTACTACAGTGACACAAAGAAAATCATGCAACTTGGTGAATTTGTTTCCTTCAAATGAAAAAGTTAAGAGATATCAAATATATAACAAAGAAATTTAAGTACTCTTCTCACAAACTTGCTTGATACCATAGGAGATTTTTTTAAACAGTGACACTTCAGTTGTTTGTATAAAGTTAGATTTTATAATTATAAATGTTGATAGTACTGGTACAAATTCTTCTTGCTTTTCAACTCAAAAATTTGCATTTCAGCTTTTTGTCCAAACTATTATTTATATTAAGACATTACTCTACACAAAACACACACACACTACACGACAGATAGACAATGCAAGGGCCAAGACTAAAATATCAGACCACCACCACTATGCCAGGTAAGTCTCTTGATTATAAACAGCAGAAACATATTCTGGTTAATATAAATCAAAAAGGAATTTATTGGCTAGACATTGAATAGCTCAAAAAAATTAAAAAAAAAAACAACAACACAAGGCTGGAAAATCAGGCTTGGTCAACTTGGTCAAGAACAAGTGATGATAAAATTAGAGAAAAATTCCTGCTTCCATAGTTTGGAAGGAAGCCTACAACTTAAGTTACAACAACAAGGGTCACAGGCCAGGAAGGAACACCATCAGCAGCTCTCAAGAAGCCCACATTCCCTCTAGCTACCACAACGCAGAGCTCAATCTTCAGAAGGACCTCATGACAGCATTTGGGCTTCCTTGGCCTGGAAAAGTGAGAGGCAGCCTCCCATCTAACAAGAAAGAGGGTTTGGTAAGGCCCTAGCAGTGGTCACCAGAAATATCCTCTACTAAGGCCCATTTTTGGTAGTGGACAAAATTGAAGCATCTTTAATTCAGTGACTACTCGTGTCTGTGAAAGTTTGCAAACTGAAAGTTCTTAAAAATTAGTGCATACTCTAACATTATTTATTAGATTTGTTTGGTGCAATTTCTAGTCTATTTACAAAGCAAAAATTCACTCTTCCTACAGTGGTTCTATCAACCGATACTAGACTGAGTAATTTGGATGGGGTCTAGCAAGTTTCTTAATACACTATAAGTATTGCCTCTTTATATTCTATCCGTCTGCTAATTTGGTTTCTTGCTTGCCTTTTTTGCTGCAGCTGTGCACCGGGTTAACTGTTTCAATGGTTTTCCTACAATAACTCACAAATTTTTTCCTGATCAGTGTGCTGTATGATTGGTTCTTTGTTCCTAAGATAATTATTTTACATTTGTCTACACTGAACTGCATTTGCCATCTGCTGGCCCAATCACCTAAACAATCCAAATCTTTTTGAATCTGATTGCATTGTTCCTCATTATTTCCCCTAGCTCCAATTTTAGGATCATCTGCAAACTCCAAGATCTTTTCTTTAAAGATTGGACACATTTCATTTTAATATAGAGGGATGTTTTTAAAAAGTGACCTTTTAGTCACACCAGCTGAAATCTTCTAACTTGAAAAGTTTCCATAAAGCTTATCCAAAGATACCTTCCAAATATACAAAGTGTTTCTAGAAACAAATTTAAGTAGAACCCATTCTGTTTCATTGCTCTTGATGTTACCATGTGTTTAAAAGTATTATGTCTAAGTTCTCTCCACAGTATAATTTTTAAGGAATATAAAAATTCTGTTATTCTTATACAGATATTCATGGCAATTTTGTGTTGTAATAAATTTCCTGAAGTACAGAGTACAAAATTCCTACATGTCATTTTACTGATTTAAAAAAAAAAAAAAAAAACATATCAAGTACTCATCAGTAATTGGAATTAGATGCACTGTTATCTTATGACCTTGCTCCAAGTGCTGATCCCCAACACTTCAGTTTCTTACTGACAAAGGAGATTTTAGAAGATAACTTCTCAGAACCCATCCAGCATTAGCATTCTAAATTACATTTTAAATATAAATCACATACTAGAGCTACACTACTTCTCAAATTTTGCTACTTCAGATTTTCCAGGCTCCACCTAATTATAAACCCTTCTATAACTCACTTTTTATTTTGAAGTACCTTAAAAGTGAAATGTTGTATACACTTATTTAAGCATAATTCACCCTCCAAATTAATTTGGCATATCTGAACATTACAAATCTTTGTTACTTAACTATGATGAAGGGGACCAGGTACATCTTTAGATCTAAGAAAAAACTGTAACCTTCAATGATTCCTTGTAGTATAACCACACATCTCCACAAAAACCTTATTTAACTTCTTAAAATTATCAAAATTGATGTATTTCAACAAATTTGTTATTTCAAGTGGTAGATGAGGACAACAAACTGAATTTAAGATCGACTTTGATTTATTCATTCAGTCAGTGGATGTTACAAAGACAAAAATGAATACTTACCCTCAAAAAGCTGAGGGTAAGATGTATACAAGTGGAAACAAACTATTATAATAGAGATACAATTAAATGGAAGTAAGGAAAAGGAAGAATTTACCTATGGCTAGTAAATGACAAGCTTTGAGGAAGATGCATTACTTGAACTCTATCAAATACTGTCTTCAAACACAAATGCAGAGGCTGGGGATGTAGCTCAAGAGGTAGCACACTCGCCTGGCATGCTCAGGGTGTTGGGTTCGATCCTCAACACCACATAAAAATAAAAAATAAAGATCTGTGTCCACCTAAAACTAAAAATTTATATATATATATATATATATATATATATATATATATATATATTTTTTTTTTTTTTTTTTTTTTTTAAAAATGCAGAACCAGGCATAGCAGCACAAGCCTGTAATCCCAGTGGCTTGGGAGGCTGAGGCAGAAGAATTGCAAGTTCAA